AAAGCCAGCTAAGATTTTCTGTTATCTTGCATGTTTTATGAATCTATTCACGTCTAAATGCAGCACTTTTTTTTTGCAATGAGGCATTTGTTTTTATACTAAAATATCTGAATTACTTTGAATAAAGCTGGAAATTATGTCCCTTAAAATAATTAAACAAATAAGGCACCAATGTTTTTGTAAGATATTTACATCTTTAAAGGACATTCGGTAGACTGATTCCCCACTGTTAGTTCAACCCCAAAACTTTTTTGTATTCAAAATTAATTATGACAATGTATATTTATATTGAAACAAACTATGTTAAAGGGAATTATATTATATAACAAAGGGCAAGGTCACCAGAGTTCAACTGTTATTTTTCTGATCAAGTTGCAAGATGGCAGACTGGTGGCCATTTTGTTTCAACAAATGCAGTGCTGCATCCATATATACAAAATGATGCTAAAAATGCATCAAAACATCGCACATTACACATATATATAGATGTTTATCTTGTGTCTATGTCTTTGGTAGTGATTTTTCAATAGAACAATGCTTGTATGTGAATTTTCTGTATGTTTTTCTACTTTGAAACGCACTACATGTAAGTGGAAAGTAGACTCGGATTTAAATGAGTTGCAATACTTAACTACACCGTTTCTTTGGTACGTGTTAACAGAATACATGTACCGGTAATTATATTTGCAATTTTCATAACGAATAGATATGTCATGTATTCATTTAAGGATACCTTATCTAGCTATTTTTTGCATTCATTTAACAGGAATATGATGTTCATGATAGCGTGAATACAAGGCCACCCAAGAAAACAAGTGTTAAATTAAGTGACTGCATTGATCTTTTTCTCAAGCGAGAAAGACTTGGAGTTGATGATCCATGGTGAGTGAATCGATTTATTTTGATAGTGTTCACTTATTCTGCAACTATGAGAAAATTTAAATCATAATCTTAAACATGAACTCTTCTCCTGCCTGTTTTACCTGTCTAGGTATTGTCCATCCTGTAAAGAACATAGACGAGCAACTAAAAAATTTGATCTGTGGAAACTACCCAAGATTCTTGTTATTCACTTAAGAGATTCTCATACAATCGATATTGGAGAGATAAACTGGACACTTTGGTGTCTTTCCCAACTCGGTAGGTTGTTTTTCTGAATATTCATATTGAATGTTAGAATATACTCTCCTTGTCACTAGATACATTGATACAGCTGTCTCCATGAAATTGTCACTTTGATAAGTTTATACAGCACTGTATGTAAGAAATGTAATCGTGAAAACCACAATTTTGTTGTTTCCCAGCTTAATTTCACTGTGAACATTGCCAGCAATCTTTGACTTTGAGAGACAGTCTCATTTTCTCAAGTGGTATGGAAAGAGGCAGAAATTATGTGTAATGTGTATTTAAATTTAATCAGGAAATAAAAACAAATGTTAATCAATGGTCAATGGAACACAAGTTTGAAATTGAATAGTAAAAGAACTTGCCGCAAGTATATTACTTTATGCATCGCTCTAATTTAGGTGTCGGGCAAGAGTGAAAATCCTTATTTCCTTGCCTGATATCGCTACATAATAGTAAAATGATCTTTCGGCATTTATTTCGGTGGAATTTTTGAAAGATAAACTGAGCATTAAAAAAGCATTTATCTTGAATAGGCATCAACAAGTACAAAAAACATAATTTAGGCATCACAAAAAGATAGAAATGTTCCAAAAGTGACGCCAATATTAAAATATTTACACTATGTCATTGTACTTTCTCTCCTGAATAACCTTGACTTTAATTCTACTTGTATTCTGTTTTTTTTTCACAGAGATCTTGATATGAAGGATTATTTGGTCAACCATGGCATTGATTTGGATTCCACGTTGTACGATTTAATAGCAGTATCCAACCACTATGGTGGTATGGGTGGTGGGCATTACACAGCATATGCCAAGAGTAAAGACGATGAGCAATGGTATAGTTTTGATGATAGCAGCGTGTCTAGTGTTGGCGAAGATGACGTTGGGGTATGTGTTTGCATTCCTTCTAATACTCACAAACTAATGTCACAAACCCTCAGATTGCAGAAACTCAAGTTTTCTTGATATCGTTAAACCATGTGTTAAAAAAACATGTTTAACTCCTTTCTTTCTCCTTTTTTAGTCCAAGGCTGCTTATGTACTGTTTTACATGCGTCGTGATCCTGATGACCAGATTTATTCACCGACCCGACGTAACATGAAAGAAAGACCAGCAGAAGACTTGGAGGAAAGCACCTCAATGAGTGAAGATGACTACTCAATGGACACAAACTAAACTGGAATTGATTAACAATTAATTGCATTTCTTCTGATGTAGTTATCTGTATACAGCATCACATGATACTCCAATGTATTGTACAGATCTCCTATTATGCTGATTGCACAATTATTTATTAACTGAGATGTCTTGAAAATAAGAGTCCTGAGAGTATGTCTCAATTGTGAACTGTGATACATGTGGTATATGTGAAGATGGTGCGTCACTTGCACAAGGAATTTTTATATTAATGATGTGTCTAAAATGGAAGTTACAAAAATACACCTTAAAAGCTCTACTAAACGAGAGACGTCCACATCAATAGTATAATGGGTTTGAAGGGTAATAACACTAGTAAACATAGCTATATAACTGAACCATAACTTTGTATATTATCAGATCCAATATAATTTCAATAACCAGTTCTAAAATAAAGAATGATGCATGGCCAATAAAACAAAACAAAAAATTGTTGACACTACTGTGATTTATTTCAGATTCTGGCATCCAAAATTGAAATAAACTTTTGGTTTTTTTTTTTTTATTAAGTGTGTAATATTGCTGTATAAAACTTTTCAAGCTGAAAGTAAAATTAAAATTTATTTAGATGACCCAGCAAGCAAGCAACCAAACTAACTGTATTACCACAGATCAATCAAACACAACACTGATATCATGGATTGTGCTCAATATATGTATATGCTCTGGGCGGAGCTACGTCACAAGATGTTCCACGTTGCTAAAATGCGCACCAATGTTCCACGCATTTCTATGGACTCTGAGCGCGCTGCTGAGGAACGCCAAGCGAAGAGCCGGTGAAAATTCGAAAAACAGGATCTCAATTTTGAAGTAATCCTGAACATTCAAATTTACACGCAGGGGTAATCTTGTTACACTGTTCAGTGGAGTCTCAACAACCATCCCAAAGTACCATTTCCTGGGAGTTTTCGGCCTTTTTTCACCGTGATTGTTGCCATGCGGGGAAAATGCCTGGATGTCCGCCCCCGAGAATTCCATTTTTTAACCCATGTTCAGAAGTCCAAAAAGGGGACTTAATTTCATGTCTCTCTGTCCATGTATTAGTCCACATTTCTATCTCTGACATGCCTGAACTGATCATGTCCAAACTTTACTCGTACACACATACATTTGTTTCCCATTCTAATTCAAGATACTCAGATAGCATCTATTTGAAAGCCAAAAATGTATTAAAATTGAGTGTTTCTTCCATTCTGTTCAAATCCAACATCTAAAACAAGCTACACATCAGTCAAGTTCTGATTCAAAATGGCCGAAAGTTTTTAGTTGGTTTGAAGAGAACCATCATCTTAATGTCCTGTTTTTTTAAATTAAATGTATTTATATATTCAGTATAGCAGTGTTAAGATTCCCAACTGTAATTGATCCTCATTTTTCAGATAAATATTTTCCCTTGCATTGCAGGCAATTGTTTATGGTAGTTTTTTTTTTTCTACTGATGTTACAAAGGGACAAAAAGCTTGTTTTATAACTGTAAACCTCACAATGTATAGTGCACTCATTGTGCAATAGTCATTTTATGTTAATGTACACATATGTGGCATACTAGTAACAGTGAAATGGAGAAATGTCTATTTTTGTTGCCTGTGTCAGTATGAACACAGTGAATCACTGAAAGATTTCATTGTAGTGTTTGATTGTTCAACCATCTTGTCTGTGATGCAACACTTGTAATTACTTCATATTCTGTAAAAACTTTGATGCGTTGCTTTTGCTATAGGGCACTTTATATAAACTCTAATTCCAGCTAAACGAGTCCGCATTTTTTTTATTTACAAAACAAAACCTGTCCCATCAATTGTGATGTCACTTGTGTATACTGGAACTGTTTTTCAGATCATGGCATGTGTACTTGCATGGTTTTAGGTTAAAGCGCGGTAGATATATGGGTCTCGTATAAACAAAAATGGCGACTTTGACTTTTGCGCAGAATAACGAGTACGAACTGACACGTTTCAAAGCTTTAATTAGGTAATTTTCATGTGATTGGAAGGTATCGAGGTCACCGGCGGTAATCAGTGCAAGTCACGCCCAGGTCAAACCTCATACTTGCGATTTCCATTTGAAGAGCGCATCGGATTGTGGGAAAATCAATGTTCATCAACACAAATGTCAAACATGCGCAGCATGGCGACTACCGCGCTTTAACATTTGGTTATGGGAAGCTCTTAATTCGCGTCGTGTCATTTACTACATGTGAGAAGAGTTTAGTTATGCTTAGTGTTACTGCTAATTGTCCAAATTATGCCTTGTAAATGCATTATTTGCATGAAATTCAAATGCATGCTGTGAGACTACCACTGCCCTTCAAGGTGGAAATGTTTTTATATTAGCAAACTAGTGAATGCAAAATGTCGAGCTTGAATTAGAATACCAGTGATCAAAGAAAACTATGATGGTTCAAAAATTTAATTCATTTTATTAATCATAAATGTTACAACTATATTGGTAGGATGTTCTTAGACTTCTGACTTTTTGTGGTACCTAAACTGACAAGTATCTAGACTTTATTGCATCTCGTAATTCTTGTCTTATTTTAACAATGGTATTTTGTTTATAATCTTGACTAATCATGATCCAATTGAAATATGTGAACTTTGATATTAATATACAAGCAGCCATAGGCACATCTGAAAATATGCTTTTGCGGAATCAAGAACCACTCAACTTGTTTTCCCAATTTTAAACTTTTCACTTTGGACATTAAAATAGCACGTGTAACTTTTTTTAATGATTTTTCGGCCATGAAAAAATTTTGAAATTTCATGAACCTGAGGAAAATAGTTAAAGAAAGCTTAGAAGTCTTGTGTGCTGAGATTATTGTCGACTTGTTTAAAATTAATTAAAAATTTAACCCGGTAAGATTAGCCATGTACATGTATTAAAGTTTATACTCGCAGTAATACTTGCCGCAAATAAATTTGATTTTGCAGTAGTTTGCAGACTGCTTTATTTCAGAACAACTCGACCACAAGTCCAATTTATGAGATAGAAATTATATAATATGGATAGTTTTCAACATTAATATTGAACTAATCATGTCTGCTTTGGAGACAGAAGTCAATCAAAGAAAGCTTAGAAATAACTTGTGTGCTGAGAGTATTTAAGACATAGTAAACATTAATTCAAAATTTAAGATTAGCTTTTCAAACGAGAAGCTTGGCAACTAAATATTTGTCTGCTATTTCAGATGCACAACGTGAAAAGAATGATCAACATTATTTGTTTATAATAAAGAAATTTAATTTTACATCTTGGAGTTTTTTTGTCTAATTCTGGAGCACTTCTCCCACAAGTGCAAACTGGCTTATAATTTGATAATCAATATGCACGTGTTTTTTTTGGTAATTATGCAAATTGATCAATTATTATGCATACATTTCAAAAAATTGGTGGTAAGCCGAAAAGTATTTATGTACCAAGATTCATTGAAATTAGATAATTGAGGTATTGATGGAAAAACTGACCAGTTATTATGCAAATTGGGTAATTAATGTCGCAGACCATCTGTGTACAAAGGTTCATTGACATGTTACTGGTATAATCTGAGATATTGATGAATATCAACAGATTTTAACCCCAAGCTGTGCATTGCCTCAGACCATCTATGTGCAAAGTTTTATTGAAATATTAAAGATTACAACTTGTAAATGCATTGTTTGCATGAAATTCAAACACATGCTGCAAGACGACCACCGCCCTTCAAGGTGGAAATGTAATTTGTATGGAATTTTATCCAAAATCAATAGTCTCCATTGTCCCATGACATCTATGTACCAATTTTCATTGAAAAGTAATTAGTACCAGAGATATCTGAACCTCGTCAAAATCCATTAAGTGGTTCTTCAGATATTAGTAGAAAAGTCGTGGAACAGCTAAAAATTGGTAATTATCAATTAAATTAGGTAATTAATATGCATGGTTTAAACCCAAAACTAATCAAATTTGCACACTAGCACATATCATCTATGGAATTGGGTTTTATATCTTGAGAACGGGAATTGGCACACACTGGTATTTCACAACAAATCACACATTAACTTTCCACTTTTTATTCACCATTTACAGTAGTCCTTAATAATGCTGAATATTACATTTACTACAAATTTGATGCTAAACTGTACATGCGTCAGGCCCATACTGGTGTATTGCATTGTCATTGGTTAGCCAACTATGTAAATACAAGTATCTCGATTAGATTCAATCGCAAATTTGTTAAAATGACAGAAGAAACTTGTCTTATTTTTTTTTATTATTTGAATGATTTTGAACCCTGGGTCCAAGAACGAGTCTACATCATTGATGGATAATATCAGACTTATTCTTCTGAATTTAATCCATATTTCAATGCAACAGAAATGTTGAAAATGGTAACCACAAGTACACACCATCATAAAATTAAAAAAAAAAGTTAATGACTGAAAATTGTAAATGTGGAAATACAAATGAATGCTTCTGCAGATGTCTTTATAGTGTTGGATTAATAGTTATGTTTGTATACCCCTCCCCCTCCTCCTTTCACCACCAAAAATTATCAGAGAAAAAACACTTAAAAATAAAAAGGACAATAGTGTAGGTAGATCATGTAATGGTGGCTCCATTTCAGGTGGCAAAATCTCAACGCAAGTTGTTTACCGGTTGATATAGCGGGTGACATTAAAGAAAATTCTAATAAAAAGTACAGCACCAGTCTCACGCAGATGAAATAACAGACAATAGCTTTTGTATAGCAATGTGGCATTATGATGATTGATGATCTTAAGCAATTTCTTTAAATTATCCTATGAAATAATTTTAATTACAAAAATACATATATACAATCATTCTCATTTTAAGCTCCCTGCTATGGCAATAGGCCACATGCACGAGAGACTACGACCACACTGTAATTTACCTGCTTTTTACAACATTTAATCGACGAAATGACTTTATCTCTACTAATGTAACAGCCTAAACATTTAATTCAACAAATATTGGAAGTCCATAATGAGAATGCTGCACTTTTACTTTTTTTTTGAAATGCATTAGAACTTTGTTGTCAATGTTAGCCATTTTTATACAATTTTGAAAGACAAGGTTATTTAAATGACAGAACCTGATTGTTATCACTTGAATAACATAATTATCCAGTTTTTTTTTTTACAATTGAAGACATGATTAAAAACAACAATTACATACAAAATTGAAACTTAAATTAGCATTATCGTACATAAAAAAAAAAAAAATTCACAATGTAGACTCATGGGTGATACTAGTTTCTAATGAAATGATAAATGCAGTTGCTACTAAATGTAGTAGCATATGATGTTATGTAAATTGCACAGGTTTTTCAATCAACAACAAAATAATTATGGTAATTATTCAGGATACAACATATGCAACTTTGGGTTTTGCTTCAAGAAAAAAAAAAGCGGACAAACAAGGCAAGAATTAAAGTTATTACAGCATATGAAGACTCAATAGGTTATCAAACTGTGTACCCAACAATACATACAAATAACACTTAAAGATCATTATGCAAATCAGCTTATTTGGAAATGCTAATTATCAAAACTAATATATTCAATTAAAAGTGTAAGTAGACCCACTAACACATGTATAAAAATACTCAGCTAGACTTGGAGTTTATTGCATAAACTGTAGAATCACATGTTAAAATTCACATGTTAAACCAGGCTACTTCAGCTTTGAATAAAAGGGGCTGGTCTATCACTTGATTTCTACATTAAAACCATTGCATCCCACTGTGAAATCCCATGTCAACCCAAGTTACTTCAGCTTTGAATTAAAGGGGCTAGTTATTAACTTGATTTCTACATTAAAACCATTGCATCCCACTGTGAAATCCCATGTCAACCCAAGCTACTTCAGCTCAGAATTAAAGGGCCTAGTCTTTCACTTGATTTCTACATTAAAACCATTGCATCCCACTGTGAAATCACATGCCAACCCAAGTTACTTCAGCTCTGAATTAAAGGGGCTAGTCTCTCACTTGATTTCTACATTAAAACCATTGCATCCCACTGTGAAATCCCATGTCAACCCAAGCTACTTCAGCTCAGAATTAAAGGGCCTAGTCTTTCACTTGGTTTCTATATTAAAACCATTGCATCCCACTGTGAAATCCCATGTCAACCCAAGCTACTTCAGCTCTGAATTAAAGGGGCTAGTTTTCACTTGATTTCTACATTAAAACCATTGCATCCCACTGTGAAATCCCATGTCAACCCAAGTTACTTCAGGTCTGAATTAAAGGGCCTGGTCTTTCACTTGATTTCTACATTAAAACCATTGCATCCCACTGTGAAATCCCATGTCAACCCAAGTTACTTCAGGTCTGAATTAAAGGGCCTAGTCTATCACTTGATTTCTACATTAAAACCATTGCATCCCACTGTGAAATCCCATGTCAACCCAAGCTACTTCAGGTCTGAATTAAAGGGCCTAGTCTTTCACTTGATTTCTACATTAAAACCATTGCATCCCACTGTGAAATCCCATGTCAACCCAAGCTACTTCAGGTCTGAATTAAAGGGCCAAGTCTTTCACTTGTTTTCTACATTAAAACCATTGCATCCACTGTGAAATCACATGTCAACCCAAGCTACTTCAGGTCTGAATTAAAGGGCCTGATCTTTCACTTGATTTCTACATTAAAACCATTGCATCCCACTGTGAAATCCCATGTCAACCCAAGCTACTTCAGGTCTGAATTAAAGGGCCTAGTCTTTCACTTGATTTCTACATTAAAACCATTGCATCCCACTGTGAAATCACATGCCAACCCAAGCTACTTCAGGTCTGAATTAAAGGGCCTGGTCTTTCACTTGATTTCTACATTAAAACCATTGCATCCCACTGTGAAATCCCATGTCAACCCAAGCTACTTCAGCTCTGAATTAAAGGGCCTAGTCTTTCACTTGATTTCTACATTAAACCATTGGATATCAAATGTATGAACAAATATATGGCACACTGCCTGATTTTCAAATTAAAACCATTAGATAACATACGTGTGAACAAAGACTGGAATTTAACACATGACTACAAGCCTGTTTTAAGCCATTCGCTATGTTATGGTAGTGAGAACGAGGCATTGAACTTATTACAAGAAGCACACTTAGTGTTACTGAACAAATTATGCAAAATAAGCTAATTAATATGCAAAGATTTCTAATGCAAACCTTGTACCCATATTGCAAATATTGCAATTATGCGGTGGTACGACATGAGCTCCTATTTCAAGCCCTACACACAAGGATAATTAAGCAATTAGGGAACACCATGGATGAGTAAGATAAGGCAGCTTTAGTAGAGGCTCGCATAGACAGATATTTTACAATTTGTTCAATGCCACTGTATAGCATTATAGAACCGAATATTAATTTTCATATGTACATAAAAACATTCAACATTTCATAAATAATCTAAATTTTACTTGAATATTCTGTATTTCCTGGAAAAAACATTAAGTAATATATTAATGGGTTGGTTGTTTATGCCATTCAGTTTCCACCAAGGCATCAATTATTTGCTGGGATCTGTTTGGCCATATTGGGTGTAGTACGCGGCTCATTTTATCAGCAATGGCATTAGCAGCTTCAACTGGAGTTATGTCATCATCCCGGGCTTTTTCTAATATTTTTGTTGTCATGTTGATAATCTGGTTGTGGAAGAAACAAAAAAGTGAGAAGATTTCAGATAAAATAACATTGGTATGGGGCAACACATTGCATACAAAAACATAAAGAAATGTCAAATTTGACTCAATTGGTAAAATGACTGTTTTCAGCTTATCAAAAGTTCATTCATGCAGGGTTTCCATAGCCCTATGTATTGACATGAGACACAGAAGATACTGTGCACAATGAATTGATACATATGATTGGGCATCTTTATATATATCTATAAATATCGATGACAGTTGGATCCAACAAGTCAATATTCTCGGGTGGACATTTGAGCATATTTACCGCCTATCAAAACATCTAGGCAAAAACAAAGGCATTGTAACAAGAGTATAAATTTGCTTGCTCAGGATTAATTGTGTTTTGTTTTTTTTACTTAAGCTTTTTTCACCGATACTGATAACATATCGACTTGCCCTCTCCAGTTTTGTTGCAACAAACACATCATTTCCATCAGATACAGCATTAAGCACTTTCTTTTAATGGTCAGTAAAGCTCATTCACAGAGCAAAAAGCTAGCAACACGTTCATTTCTATATTCCAAGATTTTAATTTTTATCAAGTAATGTGTTGTTTCTATCACATGTTCTGATTGGGTAATGCAAACGAGCCCAAGTGAATCTTATAATCGTTTGAGGGCATGTGACATACAGTAAATCGTGGTGAAATCTGCCAAGGGTAAAAGCGGGGTTCCTACTTGCGCACGCGCGAGGATTGAGTGCCAACACACGGTAAGAATGCAAAGGCTCATGGGCTTGTTTGTAAACAATGACACACTATTGCCACCTGACGCATGCATAGGTGATTCCCTCGCTTTAATGTTGAGGCTACGGACGAATAATGCTACTACTGCTACTTACCGAATTTTCCCAGTGAGTGTCAAAGTGCCTGGTAATTGCTGGATCATTGGGAAGTCTGCCGTACGTCTCGTTAGCACAGTTAACAATTCCCATTCTATTTGCTAGGTAATCTACAACATAAGTAATCCCCCTTTCTTTCAACAACTCATTATCCTCAGGACTTCCTAGTTGGTTGTTAGCGGCACCGCAAACTATATCGGCATTGATCAATGGAATGGTATCTTTGTTCAAAATCTGTCAGAAATTAGAAGTTGAGTTAATAAAATAACTGCTGAAGTCTTCAAATTCCATTATTCAAATTTCTAAATTATATTTATCAAATATTGAGAATTTATTGATTCTCGGGTGATTGGAAGGGCTGTTCAGTTCGGCTCTGAAGAAACTCAGCCGATCTCGGCTTTTGTCTGGCCCCAAGGCACAAGAGATGAGAACCTATTAATTGGGGGAAAGAGCAAAATTGTGGCACTGATAAAATGCTGCTGTGTAGATCTAGTAAAAAAGATGGAGCACAGTTTGGTTGCAATAAAAATTAGACTGAAACAAGAACAAAACTTACATTGCCAAGGGCACATGGTGAGAGAATATGACATTGACGTGACATGATACTTGTATCATCTATAGGTACTTTCTTTATTTCTAATTCAGTACTACCATGCTGCAAAGTCAAAAAAAAAAGAAAAGGCAAGTGACAAGTAAATGCGAAACTGTCAATGAGAAATGTTTGGAACTGATATGTGCATGGCATAAAATCTGTTCCATGATATAATTATTTTTGATTACACATGGATGTAATTTTATATAAATATTCATAAATATACATTCATATTTAAATGAGAGGTTGTGATTTACTATTGGGATGTTCTGTTATACTGTCATCTGATTGGATGATGGATGATGGAGCCTGATTGAATGATGCTAATGTCGTTCAAAATTATATGTACCCACGCCATTGGTATTAAATTTACTAAATTAATCCACATCTGAAGCACCTGTATCAGGCTACACTGATAGCGGATAAATAATCTAAAACTCATAAAATCTAAAATGGAAACCCTACCTTATGACGGAACAAATCTCTCATATCATCAACTCTGAATTGATGACAATCTGTTACATAAATCTGAGCGACGCGTTTCTTTATTAGTTCGTCAACAATAACAGTAGCTGTAAGAATAAAACAAAAACTAGAGATAAAACAGTAGCATATTTATTCTAGAAGCAAATCTCCAATAAAGGCACATGTATCATCAATATTCTAAATTTAGGTGTCATTATCGGAACGCCTAATTTTAGTCATCAACACCTATTTGAAATACAATATAACGGTAGAATGAATAAACTACTGTAAAGGGGGTAATTATTCACTGTGTTTTAATTTAGCTTATTTCGCTGACTGGAAACATGCGCTAAATTAAAACACAGTGAATATGTAAAATTTAGCATAGAACACATTATCTAAGTGACGAAACCGTGAATTTAAAACCCACTGAATATGCCTGAAATGGTAGATCAGTGAAATTTAAGCCCAGTGAAAATTAGTCATTTTACAGTATGTTTATCATCAAAAAAATTGCTAATTTATAACTGAATGCCAAAATGTATAAATCATGGCCAAAATTAATTTGCATTAAGTTTTTGCATTAAGTTTTTGCATCAAGTGTTTACAAATGAAACTAAATTAAATTTGACTTGAAATTCATAACAAACCAATTAATTGATTTGTGTAGGTTATTATATATAGACTGTTTAATAGTCAATACCAGTATTACTTTGAAAAGGAGTAAGTCATTCACACATGAAAAGTGCAACTAGACTGACTAGATCATTTACAAAGCAGGGTGTGTTTGCAAATTACTGCATGCCCGTACTTCAGAGACAGGTACTAAACTTTCCAGTCAGGATTATACTCACCAACATTGCCAGCACCCTGGATAGCCACAGACTTGCCTTCCAATGAACCCATGTGTAAGAAGCCTAAAGCCCCTTCCATAGCACACACAACACCTGAAAATGAAAACAAACATGGAATTATCCAATCAATAAATATAGCAATGTGATAAACGTGCAACTACAGTGTAGTATACACATTGTGCAGAAGATGGGTTTTCAGAAATGCACATGTTTTGAAAACATACCAATCAAGTTTGAATGGCAAACACTGGATATTCATTTCTTGTACTAGAAAACTTGTGTTGAAAGAAATGGTGAAATAAACAAAGACAGCGTGCTAATGAATACTCGCTATACAAACCATTAGCAGATGAAAAAAGGATAAGCAGCGCGTCATACAAATGAGTTTTTACTATTAGTATGTTATGTTATATACAAAAATTTCAAAGAAACAAGCGCTGTCCTATTTGTTGTTTTACAGTATTCGACAGAATTAATTAGCTGCGAGGCAAAAATACTTTTTATCAAAGTTAAACTGTAAATAGCTCCCGTGTGATCGGAGCATGTATTATAAAGGTATAGGCTTTGCCTAATAAGTGAATGTAATTTCATGTAGGTCAATCCATCAATAAAATTGATCAAGATGTCTGAGAATCAATGACATACTGTATATGGAAACACATGATTTTGATATGGGCATTTTGAAAAACATGCAAGGACACTATAC